TAGAAGCTTTCTTCAAAGCATTCTCTCTCTCCCCTCCCCCCTTTTTTTTCCTTTCATTTTTCCCTTTATTCATAGTAAGTGACAGAAGTAACATCACTTTGGAGCTCTTTTTATCATTTGTTTACGATGGATGGTCGAATCTTATTTAAATTAGAGGTGAACAACTGCCAAAAAAAAAGGAGAAAAAAAAGAGAGAGGAATGGGGAAGTTGGGCCAAGGATTGAGTTTTGCATAAATTTGTGCTTATTTTGAGACATTTAAATACTCTTAAAGCATCAAGGTAAGGCCTCCTCTCCAATCTACCCTCATTCTCTTCTAGTTTCATCCATTGGTTTTCTCCCTTATACTTGGAACCCAACGTGAAGCTGGAGATATGCTACGTTTGAGTTGTTTGGTCTTTGATTTGTACCTTGAGAGGCTAAATGGAGTTTGCGGGTTTCTTTATAGGGATTTAATTTTTGGGGGCGGGGGCCAGCGAGGCATTGATTTTTAAGTGTTGCTTCAAACCCTAGCATGATTCTCTTCTGATTCTATTTATAAAGTAGAGAAAGAAGATTTTTTTTGGTCCTATTTATAAAAGACTGAGAAAATTTTTTTATATGGATATACTCTTCTGGTTCTAAATATAAAATCTCTTTTATAGTGTAATAAATGAAAGGTAAAATTATACTTCTCCGGTTCTAAATATAAGACCCCTTTTATAGTGTAAATATAAGTCAATATAGTTCTATATTGACTTTGTTTATATGAGATAGTATAATACTACCTCCGATTCTAATTATAAGAGCTAATTGACTAATTTGAAGAGATTAAGAAAAGAAGTTAAGTTAGTTATTTGTAACAAATATGTATTGTCTTTCCTAAAATATCCTTGTTTATCAAGTGTATTGGCTAGAACTACTATTGTTAGAAGAACTATCTTAAAAAAAATACATAAATATGAGAGACAAAGTGGATTGAGGTCTTATATTTAAGACCAAAATAAAAGTCAAACAAGGTCTTATATTAAAGACCGGAGGTAGTATATATTAAATAAGGGAAAAGTTAGAAAATTGTTGAATTTTAAATGAAAGTTAATGAAATTTAAGGTTTTTCTTAATTTGTGTGAAACAGGTTGAAAGTTACTTATAAATATGATTAAAAGAGTATTAAAAATCATGAAAATTTTTATTGTGTTTTAAAAGCTAAAAAGATTAACATAAAACTTGAAATGCACTTTTGCTATTAAACTATTCTTTTCAGGAGAATTGTTGGGTATCTTAAATTATTAAGGAGTGCAATACTGCTCTCAAACACATATAAAAATAAACATACTATCTTTGGTTTTTAATACTCCTCCTATCTTAAATATAACACTCCTTTTGGAGTGTAATTTAAATTACAAAAAAAATATTATATTTAGGATCGCAGGAGTATAAAAAACTAGTTGACTAATTTGAGTAGATTAAAAAAATAGTTAACTTAGTTATTTGTAATAAATATGTGTTGTTTTTTTTAAAGTAATTGATTAGAATTACCATTATTATAAGGACTATATTGCAAACATACTTTGACTATATAGTATTGGCATATATACATATTTATGTTTGCTTTTCTCCCCTTAGTGATAAGGATAACTTTGCAACTATTTTCAATTTGAAAATAATATTGTATTTCTTAAAATCAAACTATAATTCTAAAAGTAATTTTTTGATATACAAAATAAGTATGTGATAATAATTTTATCTTAATTTACATAAAAATATTTTTTGAAAGTATTTTTGACTTAACCAAACATCCCTTTCTAATCCTTGAAAGTTTATATCTAATGGTTACGTGTGAATAATTTAAGAATAAGGATGGCATTTAACCCAACTTACTAATAAAGAAAATGGATTAAAAGGAAATCTATTTCAAAATTTAGGGATCAAATATAGATTATCATTGTAACTAATACTCCTCTTGTCCCATTTATAAAGATGAGAAAAGACATTATTTTGTCTTATTTATATAACACTAAAAGAAATTTTTATATTGTATAATTTTATTTTTTATTTATTATTGTGTTGACTTTGTTTACATGATGTATAATATACTACCTCCGGTTCTTAATATAAAAACTAGTTGATTAATTTGAATAGATTAAAGAAATTAGTTAGGTTAATTATTAGTAATAAATAAGTATTGCTTTTTCTAAAATATTTTTACTAATTAAATGTATTGAAAAAAATAAATACGAGAAACAAAGTGAATTAGAATTTTATATTTATGATTAAAATAAAAATTAAACAAATTTTTGTATTAAAGACTGAAAGTAAAATATTAAATAAAGATAAAATTAAAAAGTTATTAAATTTTAAATAAGAGTTAATAAAATTTAATATTTTTCTTAGCATGATTGAAGCATGTTAGAAATCAATTATAAATAGGATGAATAATTGATTAATGATTATGTCCCCTCAAACATATAATTTCCCCTTTTATTTTTTAGGAAAAATTGTAAATAAAGACCCCTCAATATATAAAATAGCAATCAGGGACCCTGAATTTGAGAAATTGCTCACAAGGACCCGGTCTCAATTTGCAATTATGAAATCATGGTCAAATTACCAAAATACCCCTCTTTATTTTTTTTCCAAAAAAAAAACCCTTGCCTCGCCGGAATCCGGCCGCCGGCGCCGGAGTTCCGGCCGTCAGAGCTCCGCCACCTCGGCCGCCGGCCGCCGGAGCTCTGATGCCGGTGGTCGGATTCCGGCGGCCTTCCTTATTTTTTTTGAAACTGTTTTTTTTTAAAATTGGGGGAAGTGAGGTTGGGGGGATTTGATCCCCTAACCTCATGCTTCCCAAAATTAGGAATGACCATTGAACCAACAAATTTTTGCTAACATCATAATACAAAAAAAAATATAAGTTAACTCATTTACTCTTGTTCCAGGTGATAACAAGAATACATTTGAAAATAACAAGTTCTGATTATAAAATAACAAGTTTGGGATTAAAATTTAACAACACGTTTTTTTTTATAACAACACACTCTGTTGCAGGTGATAACAACAATACATTTGAAAATAACAAGTTCTGATTATAAAATAACAAGTCTGGGATAAAAATTTAACAACACGTTTTTTTTATAACAACACACTCTTTTTCAGGTGATAACAACAATACATTTGGAAATAACAGGTTCTGATTATAAAATAACAAGTCTGGAATTAAAATTTAAGAGCACCCTTTTTTTTATATAACAACACATTTTATTCCAAGTGATAACAACAATACATTTGAAAATAACAAGTTCTGATTATAAAATAAGAAATCTAAAATTAAAATTTAACAACACATTTTTTTATAACAATTAATTATTTTATACTTTTGAAAAATAAATTATTTATAACTTATAAAAAGTATTTTAAATCTATTTAATTTGCTAAAAAAATAATTTTTATCTTCAATTTATAATCAAAACTTGAAGTGTAATTTATTATAGATTAAAAATACTTTTTTATTGTTCAAATTTATAAATAAAATTTAGGGAAAATGACAACACACTTTTTTAATTTTTTTTAAAAAATTTTTAATCTATATATCTATACAACTCATTATAATATTTTTATATTATTTCATTCTTTAAATATTAAAATTTATTATTAAGTATTTAAATATTATAGTATAATTTATTATTTCATTCTTTAAATATTAAAAATAGTTTTTATATTTAAAGAAAAAAATAGTATTTTTAATTATAAATTAGAGATAAATTTCATTTATAAATTTAAGCAATCAAAAAGTATTTTTAATCTACAATAAATTATACTATAATATTTAAATACTTAATAATAAATTTTAATATTTAAAGAAAAAAATAGTATTTTTAATTATAAATTAGAGATAAATTTCATTTATAAATTTAAGCAATCAAAAAGTATTTTTAATCTACAATAAATTATACTATTTATAATTTATAAGAAGTAGTTTGATTTATAATGAGTTGTGTAGATATATAGATTAAAAATTTTTTAAAAAAAATTAAAAAAGTGTGTTGTCATTTTCTCTAAATTTTATTTATAAATTTGAACAATAAAAAAGTATTTTTAATCTATAATAAATTACACTTCAAGTTTTGATTATAAATTGGAGATAAAAATTATTTTTTTAGCAAATTAAATAGATTTAAAATACTTTTTATAAGTTATAAATAATTTATTTTTCAAAAGTATAAAATAATTAATTGTTATAAAAAAATGTGTTGTTAAATTTTAATTTTATATTTCTTATTTTATAATCAGAACTTGTTCTTTCCAAATGTATTGTTGTTATCACCTGCAACAGAGTGTGTTGTTATAAAAAAAAACGTGTTGTTAAATTTTAATCCCAGACTTGTTATTTTATAATCAGAACTTGTTATTTCCAAATGTATTGTTGTTATCACCTGAAACAGAGTGTGTTGTTATAAAAAAAACGTGTTGTTAAATTTTTATCCCAGACTTGTTATTTTATAATCAGAACTTGTTATTTTCAAATGTATTGTTGTTATCACCTGCAACAGAGTGTGTTGTTATAAAAAAAAAACGTGTTGTTAAATTTTAATCCCAGACTTGTTATTTTATAATCAGAACTTGTTATTTCCAAATGTATTGTTGTTATCACCTGAAACAGAGTGTATTGTTATAAAAAAAACGTGTTGTTAAATTTTAATCCCAGATTTGTTATTTTATAATCAGAACTTGTTATTTTCAAATGTATTATTGTTATCAACTGCAACAGAGTGTGTTGTTATAAAAAAAAACGTGTTGTTAAATTTTAATCCCAGACTTGTTATTTTATAATCAGAACTTGTTATTTTCAAATGTATTCTTGTTATCACCTGGAACAAGAGTAAATGAGTCCCTGATTGCTATTTTATATATTGAGGGGTCTTTATTTGTAATTTTCCCTATTTTTTATCCAAATCGAAATTTTAACTTTTAATAATTTATATTAGGACACTAGGCCGATGCCACCCTGCCATAGCGTAGCTTACCGTATCAGAAGTCGAAATTTTCCGAGGGCAGCGGCGCTGGTAGCTGTGCTGAACCAAAATTTCACTCGTGTCCTCCGTCCTTTATTCCACTTCAGGTGAGTTTTCGGTGACATTTTCTGCACTCGTATGGCCCTCTTCTGTTATCTCCTTCGTTTTTTTTTCCCGGTTGTGCACCATCGCTTGTTCATTCTCTTTCGCGAGCTTTATTTCCCCCCTTTTCTGGTGCATTCGTCACGTTTGCATTATTTATTCTATTAAAGGTCCCACAACGGAATTTCGTGATTGCCCTTAGAAATCTATCATGAAATTTTGTGACTGTGTAAGGCTATGCATGTAAGTTGAGAGGAAAACAGGAAGGGAAGGAATCTAACGAACAGGAAATCTGAAAGGGAGAGAACGAAGGGAAAGTGATGGTAAATGATAAATATCAAGTAATGATGACTTTGGAGGATTTTGGAAGATTAATTGAGCGTTTTCTCATTATTCTTTTATTTCTCATTAATTTCTTAAATTCTTCCATTCCCTTCCCTTTGGCTTCATTATTCATCCATTTGAGACTGTACTCTCTAGTAGAAGTTGGTTGCCCTGTCTGTAAGTGGGTATGAATAAAGCCCCAGGACTGTGGTTAGGAAGGAAAATATTTGTATAGTATTACTTGGTGCATCTTCATTTCTCGAGAATAGATTGTATGAATGTATCAGCAAGTAAGCTGTAGTTTCTAATTTGGACCTAGCTAAAAATGAGAACTAAATTCAATTGGGTAAAGGATATATATATATATATATATATATATATTTTTAATGTTGGTAGTGACTGGGTTGGTCATCAATGTCATTCAGTTATTGTGACTCCGATGAGTCAGTGGTAACTTAGTAAATTCCAGCTACCAACATCCATGTCTCCCGTGTTTTGAACTCGCCCCCTTCCCGGGGGGTTCTTCAGCCATGTTTGTAATATTCTTATTGTTTTTGTCATGGGAAAGCCAACACTTATTAGGAAGGACCATGTTCCAATGACTATCTCCATTTAGTGTATCATTAAAATTTACTTGTAACCCTGTCAATTGAGCAAATGATACAAATAAGACACATATGATATCATCTATTTGGTAATTGGTATTCCTCTGGTCCTATTTATAAATCACTTCCAATATGTTTTACATAGATCAAGAAGAATCTTAAACCTCATTAACTCATTTAAAATTTAACAACTTTTCAATTTTATCCCTATTTAATATACATTATACCTTACATAAATAAAGTCAATACAATAATAAATGAAGGGTAAAATTGTACATCCATACAAAAAGTTTTCTCAGTGCCCAATAAATAGAACCAAAAAATATCTTTTCTTTGTCTTATAAATAGGATCAGAGGAGTATATTTTAGATACGTATATATTTTTTTATTATAGGAATGCAGAAAATCAATGTGAATTTTCTACATTGGAATCGTTGGGTGACTTGGGTTGGTTGAAAGAACTAGTTTTGGACTATTGGTGTTTCATCTTTTCATCCTTTGCTTAGTTGTGATATAACAATAAATGCTTGTCTTTTATATTTTCTGTTTTAGAGGATTACCATAGTTTAAATTATGGTAATTAAAATTCCATATTATCATGTCTCCACTACTTTTGCTTATAAAAGACATTTAAGTTCTCCTATATCTGGTATGTGGCTTATATTCTTAATGGCTTGCTTATGGACGAGTGACCTATGCTACTGAGGGGGAGGTCATTTTGTTGCGCTCCAGAACTTATTCTATTTTCATCTAGTTTTTAAGTTAGTATTTGCCCTAATTATTAACTTGGCCATTCTGTTTAATTGTCAGGTTTGGTCACTGTATTACATGGGATCTACAGCAGAGGATGGCTATGCTGCATTTGAAAACAAGGTCAAACGAACAATGTACCTTGACAACCTTTCACCTTCGGTCACTGAATCCGTGTTGAGAACTGCTTTTGATCAGTTTGCAAATGTAAAAAATGTCAAGCTCATTCCCAACTACCTTGAACCAATGAATGTGCCACAGTGTGCACTAATAGAATTGGATAATGAAAAGAAGGCCAAGGAAGTTATATCAATGATTGAGCAATATCCTTTCATGATATGTGGGAAACCAAGGCCTGTAAGGGCATTTCCTGCAAAAGCAGAAATGTTTGATGATCGCCCTAAAAATCCTTGTAGAAAGTTGACCTGTCGTTGGTTGGAGCCAGGTGATCCTGACTTTGAGGTGGCAGAGGAACTGAAGGAGCTTACTGGCAAACATGCTGCTGAAGCTGCTTACTTGCACCAAGTAAGTTTTCCCTCTTGTACTTATTATGTATTTATTTTAGTAATCAATTGAATTTTAGTCAATCTTGTTATTTTTATTACTAACCTGCCAGTTGCTGCAATTGTCAGAGAGGGCAATTTTTTATTCGGTTATTACTTAAATTCACTTTTATCATTGACTTTCAAAGATTGGTTTTATCCCTAAACTTTTCCTTTTTAATCATTATCCTTAAATTGGTGAATTTATTTCATTATTTTTGTTCCAATGAAGCAGGTTCAGGAATTATTTTCAGTAGTGTGACTAGTGATAGTGAGAGCTGCTAGTGTTGATGGTATAAGATAAGATGTGATTCTTATGGGCTGCCACCATAGACTTTAAACATACTGATTTTAGGTTTCTGTTTCAAAATAAGAAACGGTAAAAATTCAGGGATGATTATCCATGGCTAGCCTCAAGAAAACAGAATATCAAAATACTGTTTAATTTTCACCCGTCACATGTCTAACCTTCCCCTATTTGTACTAACGGAGGTTGGATGGTCTCCTTCCAATTTACTTAACCAGCTCCAAGTTCCTAACAACTCCCCGGTTATCCCCCAATTCTCTTGTAATGAATAACATATTTTAACCTCAAAGAGGTGCCTTCAACCTTGTTGCATTTGTTCTTTGAGAATTTGCTGGAAGGGATTACTGCTTTACTTGTTTGATTACCTAGTATATTATTTTAACCACGCAGAATCATATCACCTGAGGAAAAAAGGAAACGGATAAATTCCCCCCCCCCCCCCAATGCAACTTCGTTATCACTATATTTTATTTTTAACATTCAGTGTTTGCTTTAGCTGCTTTGTTTTCTGGGTTGACTATTGGGGTTCAGTAAAGGATACTTTTCTTCTAAATCATATGATGCCGAGGTGTTGTTTCTTCACTTTCAATGAGGAATATGACTGAGAAGAGCATGCACGTTCGGAAGAAGTTTTGTTTTAGAATGCAAGAAATAGATAAGTATGTCCAAAGATAAATAACATGTCACATTGGTTATCGCTCTTTTGAAAATATGTCCATTCATTTGGAAGACCGTCTTATCTTGCTGGCTTTTAGCTATTTAAGATTGCCAATAGGTTTATAATACTCTTACGGGTTAGCTTATTCTTAAACTTGTTCTTTTTTGCAGGTACAACTACAAGAAGAGGAAAAGCTTGCAAAGCACCAGGAAGACACGCTTAAAGGGCATTATAAGAAGTACAGGACGATAGAGAGCGTTATGGACGGAACTGCCCAATGTCTGGCGCGTCACTATAATGTGCGTTATAACAATGATTGAAAACTTTATTTGGACTAGCAATACGTGTAAGTAAACTCTTCTTTATTAGTAGGTTATTTTCTTCTAAAGCTCTATTGTCCCTTCCAGTTATCAGGAATAATTTATGCGAGGAACGTCTTTATATGACCTATGATCCTTGTCAAAGTACAATTTTTAGTCTGCTCTATTCTTTCCTTTTATGTTCAGCGGAGTGTGATGGTGGATGTTTGTGTTGTACTTGTATTGATAACTTAGAAAAGTATACTTATTATGTCTGTATATTTGTTTTAATTACTTGCATTGTTTGTGCCCATGCTTTAAAGCCGTATAACTTTCTTGCATTAGGAATAAGGATTATATTGTGATTTGGAGTTATTATAGCCATGAAAAAGCTTCTGGTGTTGTGGTCTTGTGCGCCTGTTTGTCATACCCAAGACCCAAAGCAGAGACGATGAGGATGGAATGTGCATCCGTTATTTTTCTAAGAATTTGGAGAATTGTGTTGTCCTATAAGCCGAATGTTAGGGAGCATTTGTATGCTTTAAGAAAATCCCAGCCCCAGGAATGAATCATCGATATATCAATAATTCAATATATCGAGTGAACTCTGTAACAAATAATATTGTCTATCACGGATGGATATCTATAATATTTTGGAAAATGACAAAAAAGGATTGTGGAAATTGCAAAATTCCAAAAGGTTAATTTAATGACAGTTTAAGTTCTATAAAATCTTGCTGAAAGATGAGTTGCAAATGGCTAAATATCAATCCAGTTGCACATACGAGAGGCTCATATGCTAATCAGACGTTTACCATTAAAATTACTTACAAGTACATTACAAAAGTTGAGATAAATTTTTTTTTTTAATATATTTATCTTGTATTCTTATAAATCTGAGTTATTCTACACTGACAATAAATCTTGTATTATTTCTGTTTTTTAATATAAAATCTAGTTGACTAATTTGGAAAAATGAAGAAAATTAGTTAAGTTAGTTATTTGTAATAAATGGATTCTTAAAATACTTGTATTAATTTTGTATGTTTGACTCTTTCATGGATGCTAATTTCTTAATATATGCAACTACTATAGGAATTACTCAAATGTAAAATAGATAAATATTGGAGACAAAATAGATTGGGGTTTTATTTAAGACTAAATTAGAAGTCAAATTATCTTTTATATTAAAGATTGAAGGTAGTACATTACTTGGTACTTTGCAATGGAGTCTCAATTGTGTGTGTGAAGGAAAATTAAGGAGAAATACAAGCAATTTCTTCAACTTTTGTGGGAAAAATTATACACAATTTTTCAAATGTTTCAATGATAAGCATATAAATATAAACTTCTCTTTAAATTTTAAGCAAATAAAGTTTCTCTAATTTTAAATTGTTTGCTATTTCGCTTATGGAATAAAACATGATGCGAGGTTTCTTTTAAAATTCAGAGGATTATTCCTATAAAAAATTAAAGTTTCAAGAGTTTTTTTTTTTTTCTCAGCAGAAGTTTTTTCTCTCTCGAAGTTCTAACATTAATGGTTTTTGTATGTTTCTTTTTGTGTATAACTTAAAGTATCTTTAAGTCACTTTGGCTTGAGATTAAATTCTGTCGGGTTGAGAGGGTTAAGATTAAAATCTTTTCAATAAATGAATTTATTGCTTTCCTCTTTATGGGAGTGAGACCGCTTATTATCTGAACTAATAGTTTGTTAACTTATTGTATGTCTTTTATTTTTGGACAAAAGTTTTTGTTAATTTATTGTTTTTTTTGGATGAGGTTGTTAATTTATTGTTACCGTAGGGGAAAAAAAACTATATCTAACTTGTTACTCCAAAGGAACAATAAAGAAAATTTGACTATGGAAGAAAATGATAGGAGTTTTTCATCAATTGGTATGATGCATAGTTATTATAAATAAAATTTTGACTGAACTGCGCGCATGCCAAAGAAATTTGGCAAATAAGGAATACTTAAACGAGACGAATTTTTTGGCCAATTTAAAATTAGAGATAAAATTTTTTTGGCCAACTATAATTACAAAAAAAAAAAAAAAATCTTCCCCCGTCTGGGAGTTGCATTTGATTTAACGAGTATTTTTTTTTGGACCAAAAACATGAGTGAGTGATCAAAGATCGAAAAATATAAAATAAAAGAATAGACTGAAAAACATATTGAAGAATAGAACAAAGTGAACTAGGGGAATTGAAAGGGGCGAGGGACCTCATTGCCATATTAACGCAGGGGCTCCGCTGAACAGGTATTGCCTTCAAACTTCCAGTTTATGTACCCTGTTGAATGGTTTTAAATCAGTGGAGGCTTGTTCCTTTCACACCTGCTGCTTGTTCATTCTCTACTGTCCATTCTACTGTGGACGGAAAAATAGTTTGCCGAAGAGCTTTACAATGAAAGCTTGCATCTTTTAAAATTGGAACTAGCACCCAGTGCTAATAATCAAGGAAATCATTTAAATCAGTAAGAATATGTGAGGTTAAGTTATATTGGAGAGTCAGTTACTAAATGCATCAAACAGTTATTTTATTCTTTTTGTTTAGCAAAAGATTAGAATGAGAAAATGTATGTCTTTACCTCAGAAACACCCACTGGTTTCAAGCATGGATAGTTCTTGCATGTGCAAAGGCTGAACCTTTTTTCAATGGTTTTTCCTTTTGGGTAATTGGCATTACTGCTTCAAACGCTTCAACCAGCAGTGCCACCTTACTTTTCCTCACCGGAGCAAGTTTGGTGACTGCTTGCCTAAGTGCATGGTCAAGCATCCATTGCTCTGCAATTTTTCTTTCATCCATTATCTGATGTTTGAGAATAACCTTTTCTCGTTCTGGATTTGGGATCAAGGGCAAGAAGTTTGGCATTCGTTGGTCGAACTTCCTCAGTTGCTCATCATCCTTGACAGGTATCTTGTGCTTCATTTCTCCTCTCCAACTCTTGCTTCTTTTCTCCTCTTCAGCGCCCGTGCAGCTTGTGCCCTGCAACTTATTAGCTCCACTCTCAATAACTTCCAACATTTCCTTGTCTTGAGCAGTAAAGATATTTTCACTTTGCACATCTTTCATTAGAATATGTGTCGCTTGGCTAGTGCTTCCATCATCATTCTCTGGACTTGAGTCTTTGCCTTCATCGGTATCATCAATCTTATGTAACTCACTTATCTCATGACCTTGCCTTCGATAATCACTACTCTCAACTTGTTTGGCAAAATCTTGATAGATTTCCGTACTTTTCATCTCCAGATTCTTGCTACCTTTGCCTATTGCTTTTCCAACATGATTTAGCTTACGTTCTTCTTCAGAAGCATTATAGATTTGGTCACTCAGTGACATAGGTGTACTATCTTTTACAAATATAGGCTTCTGTCCAACATCAAGTACATTTGCGATACAGCTGACACCATTATCTAGAGATGTTTCATTTTCTCCGCCATTTTCTTCTGCATTTGTCAAATTCTGAAATGCTTCCTCTATTGAAGAACGAGTCTCTGTGCTTTCAATTGTGGCTTCCTGGTCCAAAACAGTGTCATGAGGTTGTGCTTCAAAACAAGCACATTCTTGTGCTTTGGCTTCTTGGGATGCTTCTTCAACTAAGTATTCTATCTTTTCGAGCCTTCTAGTGCTGACAATTTTATCTGATTTTACAGATGCCTCTAGTAAACTCTCTGCTGAAGACTCAAGCCTGAACTCTGTTTCCTCTTCAGCTAAAACAACTCTCTCTTCAAGCTTTGACATGCAAAATTGTTCCTCCTTCCGCTCTGTATCAGTAGCTTCAAAATCACAATCATCTATTTCACTGCTTCCCAACTGTTCCCAATCATTAAATCTAATCCCTTTGTAGCAGATTTCCATACTCGTACATTTATGAGAACAGCTAGGTGGGTGGCTTTCATTTGCAGATTCTTCGTTATGTTCCTGATGAATGCTTAGCATGGTATCTGCCTTAGTTGCAGGATCATCATAGTATTTCTTGAAATATTTCTTGGAATTTGATTCAAGCTCAGGGGACTCGTCAGACATATTTGTGGTAATCTGCTTGACATTATCCCCTCTTGCAGCCAAGCTATTCTCCTCAATTATAAACTTGATAACTTCTTGATCCTGAAGCTCTTCAGAGGATTCTAGTTTTCCTGTTCCATGTCCATGACCTGTTGTTGCTGGTTTTGATTCATGTTCCTTTACGTTAGCATGGATTTCAATAAAGAAATCTACTTCTGCGTCATCACCTGCAGAATTGCCATCAATAACAATCTGCTCAGTATCAAAGATTTTTGTGATGAAGGGCACCTTCAATCTTTGAAGGCTTAGTTCTTCCTGCTTCATGGTCTTCTCGGCCTTAAAAAGACTTCTCCTTTCTGACAAGAAGCTCTTCAGTCGAGGCAAAGGAGTACGGCAATGACCATTAAGAGAGCAAAATGTATACGGACAATCCTTCATAACTGAAGTTCTCTGTGACTCTGTAACACGAGGATCAGTCATGTGGCGTTTAGGAGGCAGAAAGTTCCTCAAACTTGATGGTCTTGTCAAAGTTTTTGCAGGTTGCTTACCAGGACCAACGCTGGCCTTCCAATTACTAGAAAGCTTTTTCTTTTGATCCTTATAATCATAATCAGATTGAGAGTTGGAAAGGCTCGCTGGAAAGAGCTCCTTTGCACCTGAACTGATGGTGGGCTTCATGTAATGAGTTGACGTGTCTGTTCTCATCAATGGCTGCTGCTTTTTTTGAATTTGGCAGTGATTGGAATATGAGAGGGTGATGGCTTTCTGGGTTTGGAAAAGCTTCGTCTTGAAGGTGATGATTGGAAAGCCTCTAAATCAGAAAGCTGAATTGATCTTGACTTATTCGTCTCATCTCCACTGGTTACGCCATCCTGGTGCTGAGAAGCCTGCTGCAAGTGTTCCAAGTGCTTATCAAATTCACCATTATCGGCGTGGATTAAGACCTTGCTCGTCACCTTTCTCTGCACCATGTTCAAAAGAGGCCCAACAAGATGAACAAGCAAAGAGTTGGAATCAAAATTTCTTTTTCCTTCCTTGACTGCGGATTTCCAGCAAAGGAAGAATTGAAAATATTTTGCGCTTTGCTTTTCTCATATGGAAAATTTCATGCAAAGAAGAGGAGAAAAGCTGGAAACCCCAGCAACCAGAAAGATTCCTCCTCCTTGCTTTGTATAATTTGTTGTTTTGCAGTGGGTTCTCATTTTTCTTGTTTTAAACTGTTTTGTCTGCACTGCAGATGATGAAATTTAAACAAGGCTGAGCCCACTGTTTGATGCCAATTCTTAATATTAACAAGGAATATT